TTTCTGACAATGAATGAACAAAATGGATGAAAACAACGGTGAAAATTATTGGAATAATATTTTAACTTAGAAAAGCTGTATCTTTATCAGCCTATTCAGAGGGTTAGAATTCTTATGAGCCTAAGGGTAAGAGAAAATATAAAATTGCAGCGAAATCCTGCACATGAAAAAATACATCATTATCGACAGAAATTTAAACATAAAATTGAGACATGCGGTACTAACTCACAGGGGCGTATCGAAACCAGAGTCACTCGTTTTAGCAGCGACTGAAAGTTATTTCTCGACTGAAAGTGTTTGAAGAAAAACGGTGTAGTGTGAGACTCACAATCATTGATTTTCCAAAGACAGGGTAGATTTGAAATTCAAATTAACGGTTTTGCGGGGTGTTTTGGTTTCGATACCCCCCGGTGAGCTAGTACCGCGTGTGAGAGGAACAGCAAGGCTTAGAATAAAATGAAAGAAACTGGCATGAACAAGACACTGTAACAAAACACACACCTTAATTCTGGTGGATAGGATAAACAATGTAGTAATAATATTGCAGGGGGAGGGGGGGGGGTAACAAGGGCTTGTAGCTAGACTAACATAGAAATAATACTGTAGTTCAGAAGTAATTTTATTCAACCCTATTAGAGAAAATTGGATAAGTAAAAATATACAGAGCAGAGGACAATTTATTCAGGCAAACAAAGCAATAATATAAGAGACCACAATGACCTGCAGTTGTTTGTAATATTAACCTCTTTACTACCCAGAGTGACGAGATTTCTCGTCACCTCAGAAATTACTTTGAAACCCAGATTGATGAGATAATTTGTTACAAAATTTTTCACTGAAATTGCTCTTATTTGAACAATTTTTATCCAATTTACACAAAAATTACTTTAAAATGTCTAGAAATGATCTCTGCTGTCTAATCTAACTAAATTAAACATCGTCTGTTGTATATGTATTTAGTAAAATGTCAAAAGCTGGCAAAAATGAAAAATTATCTGGTTTCAACCTATTTTAGAACCTGGGATTCAAGAGGTTAAGGGGGGCAAAAATAACCATCCATAGGGAAAAAACATTGAAATGTTCAGTCATGTTTTTGAAAATTGCAATTTGGAATTGTGTGGAAAAGAGTGGAATCAGTATTAAAATAAAAGCATGTAGTTATATTCTAAATGGTATTCAAATTCCAGCAGTTCAAAATTTCATTCAAAAAGAAAAAAGTGAAACCAGTGAGAAATAAGGTAAACAGACATAGAATCAACCAGCTCATCCTTCAAGATCAGTCCTTCACTGCTTTCATAGCAGATCATGCATAAATAAATCAATAAATAAATAATGTAATGCAATGAATTACTCTTTGGCCACTCTTTGAACAACCTGTAGTGAACACTCTTAAGGGAAATACCGAAAAAGAAACATTAAGGTTTAGAAGCTTCAGGAAGGGTCATTGCTTCACCAATGTTTTCTACTGAATCTACAAATCCGAGGGCTTGCATTAACGGCGTCCCATACATGTTAAGGACTCAAAAATAATTTGGAGGACGCAAAAATTGAAAATATTTCCGTTTTTTGGACGCAAATTTTTTTTAGGTCAATACTACAATGTGTTTACAACGATATCTAACAAAAACAAATAATTATGATCTCTCACCTTTATTTGAATCGTAAATAAGACTCAACATGTTGAATATTTACAAATAATCATGATTCTCTCGAATATTTTCGACTTTCTTTATTTTTAGATTTGAAACCATGACACGCCACAGTTTTTCCTATTCAGAAACAAATATTAGGTTATTCATGAAATAAAATGTATTCAT